GGCAGTTAAAATACACACATGGCATCCAGCTACATGGTGGCAAACATGGTCTCTGCTGCTGCATTCCTCCAAGGACTTACTGTGTCAGGCTAGTCAGACTGAAATGCTGGATGTTATTTTTATGAGTACAAGTCTGGGCACCTTTGAAAAGGGAAAGCTTCATGGAATAGTTCACTTCCTAAAAGTATTAGTGCATGACATCTTCAGAGACAAGCCAATGCTCAACTTAAAGGCTTTCTTAGAAAATACTCAACCATTTAATCCTATTACCATGAATACAGTTTAATTTATCTGGTATGAATGAGTTTTTTATATTTAAGGTAAGGTTCTTGTGCTTCATTCAAATGGCTTGATAAGAAAAAAGTGCAAACGAACAGAATAGTTCAAAAAAATTAAGGAATAATCATAATGGCTATAAGCTCTTTGTAGTCAGGAGTCGTGTTTCTTGTTTAGCAATATTTTTTTTTTTTTTTTTTTGAGAGAGCCTCAAGCTGTCACCCTGGGTATAGTACCGTGGCATCACAGCTCACAGCAACCTCCAACTCCTGGGCTCAAGTGAGTCTCCTGCCTCAGCCTCCTGAGTAGCTGGGACCACAGGCACCCGCCACAATGCCCGACCATTTTTTGGTTGCAGCTATCATTGTTGTTTGGTGGGCCCGGGCTGGATTTGAACCCGCCAGCTCAGGTGTATGTGGCTGGTGCCTTAGCCATTTGAGCCACAGGCACCAAGCCTGTTTAGCAATATTAAACATGGAACATATTCAATAGCAGTTAGTGATTATTGATTGACAACAATATAGATTTACTGTGATGTTTTTCTTTTAAGCTTATTTCACATCAATAAATGAATGCTGTATGTTAAAGGACAGTTTTCAATAAGCTTAGCCTGGGTATTCATTGACTGGTACTAAACAACCAAAAACAGTGAAAGAAGGTTTACAACTAATTTTTCCCTTCGGTTGTGACTAGACTGAGGAAAAGTGGCAAAGGAGCATCTCTGTCACTATGCAGCTGTACAGGATGCACATACTTACCCTGTCCAATGATCAGACAATGCTTTCATTTCCTAGAGTTGAAGAAACTTATTCTCCAAAAGTGTATCTGAGAAGCTGGGTGCAATAGCTTACCTTTGAAATCCTAGCACTCTGGGAGGCTAAGGCAAGTGGATTGCTTGAGCTGAGGAGTTTGAGCCCAGTCTGAAAAAGAGCAAGACCCTGTCTCTACAAAAAAATAGAAAAATAAGCTGGGCATGGTGGCATGTGCCTATAATCCCAGCTACTTGGGAGGCTGAGGCAAGAGGATCACTTGAGCTGAGGAGTTAAAAGTTGAGTGGAGTAAGATAATGCCACTGCACTCTAAAGTGTGGGGGGGATGACAGAGTTAGGCTATCTAAAAAAAAAGTATATCTCAGAGACAGAATGTCCTGGCTGATCTGTGTTTTCCCACAGGTTTCAACTAAGATATCAGAAGTCTATCTGTTCTCTTTCTAAGTTTACCAAGTGAATGTTTGTCTACAGGACAAGTTAAACACAGAGAAGGAAAATGATCATCATTAAACAGTATTCGTATTCTTCCTATTCTATTAAAAATGTGTTTCAGGCTCGGCGCCTGTGGCTCAAGTGGCTAAGGGGCCAGCCACATACACCTAAGGTGGTGGGTTCGAATCCCCAGCCTGGGCCCGCCAAACAACAATGACGGCTGCAACCAAAAAATGGCCAGGCATTGTGGAGGGCGCCTGTGGTCCCAGCTACTTGGGAGGCTGAGGCAGGAGGCTTGCTTGAGCCCAGGAGTTGGAGGTTGCTGTGAGCTGTGATGCCACGGCACTCTACCCAGGGGGATAGCTTGAGGCTCTGTCTTAAAACAAAAAAAATGTGTTTCAGTTTATAATAGACACATGTATTTGAAGTGGTGAGCTGTGAAGAATGGCACAAAGCATCATGTGTTCCGGCAGAAGTGCAGCAACCGGAGCATCATCTCCCTCATCCCAGGGGCTCCTTATCTGCCTGGTCATGGAGCTGGACCACAGGGTGCCTTCTTCCTGTCAAAAGTTTTAGTGGCCAGGCAAGGTGGCTCATGTCTACAAGCCTAGCATTTTGGGAGGCTGAGGTAGGAGGATTACTTGAGGCCAAGAGTTCAAGACCAACCTGAGCGACATAGCAAGACCCTGTCTCTACAAACAGATATGAAAAATTAGCTGGGCATGGTGGTGTGTGACTGAATTTCTAGTTTCTCAGGAGGCTTAGGCAGGAGCATCTCCTGAGACCAATAGTTTGAAGCTGCAGTGAGTTATGATTGAGCCACTGCACTCTAATCATGGATGACAGACCAAGGCATTATCTCAAAAAAAACCCAAAAGTGGCTCAGTGCCAGTCACATACACTGAGGCTGGTGGGTTTAAACCCGGCCCTGGACAGCTAGAAACAACAATGATAACTGCAACTAAAAAATAGCTGGGTGTTGTGGCCGGCACCTGTAGTCCCAGCTACTTGGGAGGCAAGGGAATCACTTAAGCCTAAGAGTTTGAGGTTGCTGTGAGCTGTGATACTCTACTGAGTGTGACATAGTGAGACTCTGTCTCAAACAAACAATAAAAAAACCCCAAAAAGTTACGGGTGGAATTTATCAAGCCTTTTATCTTTTACTTACTTTTTTGTTTTTGCAGTTTTTGGCCAGGGATGGGTTTGAATCCGCCACCTCCAGCATATGGGGCCGGTGCCCTACTCCTTTGAGCCATAGGCGTTGCCCCAAGCCCTTTATTTTTAACATGGTTTTTCTTCCATAAAATTTACCATGGTTAGCAACCATATAGTTCTTGGTACAATTACTCAGTTACTGTTCTTCTTCCCACTTTATGGCACTACTAGACTGTGCTGTTTTATTCACCAATGTATCCACCGGGGCTGGCATTATGGTTGATGGTCAAGACAATTTATGTGTTGAAGAAAATAGGAATTCAGCAAGAAATGGAAGACAGGGTTATAGAAAAGGAAAGAAAAAGTAAACACTTCAAAACAGTGTAAATATCTAATATTAAGACTATTGTTGAGCCTGAGCAACATAGCAAGATCCCCCCTCTCACAAAGTAGAAAAATTAGCCAGGCATAGTGGCACACACCTGTAGTCCCAGTTACTCCAGAAGCTGAGGCAGGAGGATCCCATGAGCCCAGGAACTTAGGGTTGCAGTAAGCTATGATGACATCACTGCGCTCTAGCCTGGGAAACACAGTGAGCCACTGTCTGGAATTAAAAAAAAAAAAAAAAAAGACTATTGTTCATGCTGGAGCCATTTAAAGCCCGTTTGTAAAGGGAGCAGGACCTGTTTGCTGAGGAAACTGCCATTACACATTGGTTAAGAAAGTAAAATGAAGTACTGTGGTATTTTCCATTTGTTCTACATGTGAGTCTGTTCCCAGGGTCTGGCTGTTTATTTGGTAAAGGAAGCCCATGGTACCTTAGTTGTTGTTTAGACATCACTCCTACCCAATTTCCAAGCTTGAGTCTTTGATAAACCCACCCTTTTCCTCAAGATGGAATTTCATACATCTGAGCCACAGTCCAGATCTATCAACCCAAACACTGATTGATTACAAGCCTCATCGGGGACACAAGAAAATAGGATCCCATTTGCTCCTTCTCAAGTACCCTCCTTCCTACCATGACTCCTCTTTGGCCATTTCCCCAGTTCTGTATCTCTAAATTAGGATTCCATCTTTCAGTAGTTCAGTAGACTGAACTTTTGTGAAACTGCCACACTTTTGGACCATAAGTGAATTGTGTTATTCTGGTCCCCGGTGTTTCTAAAGGTGTCCAGTGTGACTCAAAAGTCAAAGGTTTGTATGAATTTCCCAGATGACCTTAGCTACCTGGTAACTGAGATTCTCTTGTTTTCTAATCTTCCTTGCCTCAGGTGTTTGACAATTTGCTCTATTTCACTGAGGGTTCATATGCCACCAACATTGTCTCAACCCCAGAGCATACCACTTCTCAAAAATTTTTTTCTACGTAGTCAAATCAGTTAGGTTCTCAGAGCAGGTTACCACAGACCTGCGGTGATATGAATGTCCTTGCAAAGAATCCAGCCTCAAGGGGCCTTCTTGGTTCAAACGCCAGGTTATAGACATTCTTGCACTAGGAGAGTTATTTCCTTTGTATTTAAGCTGTACTTTCCTAGTGTTCTGCGTTTCAAATTTAAGGGGAGCAGACAAATGAAGCTACCTTTGTGAGAATGTTTTCTTCAAAGATTATCTGTGGATCACATAAGGACCAGGGCAAGTCTGGGAGCACTTGTGACCTTGGGGAGAAGGAAGCTCTGAGATTCAGTGCCAGGGAAAGTAGAAGGAGACAAAGTTTAAAACAAACAAACAAAAAATCTATTACTGGGTTTAGGCCACAGGGTGTCTTTCAGATCACAAGATCTAAGATCTGGTGCCCAGGGACTCCTCTTTGCACGCTCCCCCAAGCCCCGCTTTCTTCTGCAGCGCCGCCGCTGTACTCTCGGTCCCCAACTCCCCGCTGCAGCCGAGCAGACCTCCTTCCCGCCTCTCCCACCGCGTGGCCCCACCGGCCCGCTCCGTGCTTCCCACTAAGGCAAGATAAACAGAAGGCTCCTGCACTCACCCTCAGTTGTCACCCTCCAGCGTCCCGCCCCCTGCCCGTGCCCAAAGCTTTAGGTCACCTCTGCATAAATAATAAAACCAGAGCCCAGAACCTGAAAAACCGGGCGCTGATCAGTCCCGCTCGCTTCTCCACCAGCGAAAAGCAATCTTATTTCAACGCGAACGCTCTGCGTGCCGCAGTTCGATCTCGGCCAACAAGCCGGGCCGGTGTCCCCTCGCCCGGCCCGCGCGTCCTGTCATCGCCGGCCGCCCGCGCCTCCCTCACCGGCCTGGGCCTCTCCCCGCCTCCGGCTCGCGGACCTCGCCGCCCCGCCTCCGGCCCGAGCCGCGGAGGCCGCCATTGGTGCGGGTCCGCCCCAACAGGACGCCCATTGGCCGGGTGCGAAGTCCTTCACCCAGCGCATTCCGCCGCCCGCAGGCTTGCGGGGAAACTTCCTTATTATTGTGACGCCGAAAACCGAGAAAGCCCGAGCCCAGCCTGAGGGGCCGTGACAGGCGGAATCCCACGCTGCGGTTCGGCGGCTGCCGAGGTGCGCGGGGCAGGGGCCGGGATTCCAGGGAGGAGGTTGCCGCCGAGCTGCAGCCGCGCAGCCGCTGCGCTCCGCCCGGCGCGGCTGTCAGCGCGCGGCTCCCGGAGGGGCTGCTGCGGCTCCTCCCGCGGCTCCGGCGGCGGCTGCGGGGAACCTCCTGCGGAGACCTGGGGCCGGGGCGCGGGGAGGTCGGGCGCGGCGGCTGCGGGACGCGGGCGGCTGCACCTCTGGGGAGCTCCCGGGCCTCGCGTGCGCCTCCCTGGCGTTCTCGGAGGCTCGCCCTCTTCTTGCCAAAGAGCCCAGCGCCCGGAAAGGCTAGAAAAGCCCTAAAAATGGGGGAGCGCCTCCCTCCCGGACTCCGCCGCCCGCAGCCCGGGAGGAACTGCGTCGCGGAAAGTCCAAAGACGGACCCTCCCCTCCCCTGTCCCCTGCCCATGTTTAAATTCTGGGGCTTCGGAGACATCCTTGCGGAGAGGGGCGCGGACTCTTCCAGGCGAAATGGGAGCCAGGGAGGCCTCAGCATTTGGGGGAGCCTCGGCGGCCCGGAGGAGCTTGCGCCGAGGACGCGGGGCACGGCGTCCGCGATGACAGCGCCGGCGGGGTGGCGGTGCCCGGCGCCACCCACCCTACGGAGGTGGTGCCGGCTGGCCTCGCCCGAGTCCACCTCCTGGGCGGGGCCGGGCCGAGGGTGTGTGTGGACACGTGTGTGCGAACCGACACGTAAGGCGGAGACGGGCGCCGAGGGTGTCAGGAGCGCAGACGCTCCGGAGCAGGTGGGACTTTGAGCATTTGGAAACGTGTAGCGTGGGCAAACCCGGACAACTAGACGGAGGAGAGCGCGTGTAACCTGAAACAGATGTGCATTCATTATGCACAGCGTGGTTCCCAGGGACTGTATTTGAACTTTGGTGTTGGTCTGTCATTGTTTCTGGCTGTTTTCGGATTACATTTTACTTTAGCTTTCAAATCAGCCCCATTAGGGAGTACCTTAAATTCACAGCTAAACCTTCTAGGATTTTGCTTGCTTTCGTTACAGGCGGAATGCTTTGAGAAAGACGATTCAAGAGCGTTCTTCCATTTTTGTGTGTCTTCTGGCGCTTTCCTCAAATAGGCAACTATTTCTAGAACCTTTTATTTGATAATTTGATAACGTCAAGTGAGCTGATTTTTTAGAACTCTGGACTGAAGAGGAAAAAAAATGAAGATTAACAACCTTTTATTATTATACAAAGTGCAGTGGCTAGAGAGAGGGTTTTATATTTTAGTCGGCAGATTACTGTGAACCTTTCTCCTTTTGTACTTTCCTTTACCTTAGGGTGGGAAGGAGTAGCATTATAAATCAGAAAAGAGAAGTAAATGAATCACATACTGTATTTTAAAGAGAAATAGATGAATTACATATTCCACATTATTGACCCTTATAGAAACTAGGAATCTTTTGGAGAAAGTATAAAGCAGGAATCAAGGAGACAGTTTATTCTACATTTTTGGCAAAACTCCTTTGACATTAAAGAAAAAAAAAATCAGTGTTAACTAGCATCCAGCTGTACTCGTTCCAGAAGTAGCTGGAGTTTCATTTTTGAAAAAAGTAACAGGGATTCCAAGATGGTCCAAAAGGTATGTTGGAAGCTATTGGTTATAGCATTTCCTCCTGAGGAATAAATACAAATTTCTTAAGATTTGTATGACCAATTAAATACGATATGAATCACATATTGTATTTTAAAGAGAAATAGATGAATCACATATTGTATTTTAAAGAGAAAGACTTTTGTATTTTAAAATACACTTTTTATCCTTAATGAGAATAGCACCCTTACTGGAAACAGAAGATAGTTTTGTTTCAATTTCAGAAATAAAAGTAGTATTTTCCAAATTAAATGGGATTTTCTACATAGGGTGGAAATAAAGTTATGATAATCGTATCTTAAAATCATGCAGAGCTTTTTCCTTTGAGAGACATAAAGCGCCTCTCAGATAATCTCTTCTCGTTCTGTGTGTATAGGATACAGTAATGAGAAGGAATAAGAGTCTTCCCAGCAGTTGTGACAAAATAAACTATAATATGTGTGATAAATGGAAAAATAAAGAAAATAGAAAAAAATGGAATTGTCCCCCAATTTCTCTTTCTAATCTCAATGGGTTTTAAAAGTAGTTCTCTTTGCTCCTCCCTATCAAATGTTGGAATTTTGTAATGGGATGTCTGTGTTTGTAGTTTGCTTTCAGAGATGACTGACTTCTTTGTAATTGGTTAGAGGTTATCATAATGCTGTCTTAAACAAATGCCAGTCTCGAGATATAGTCTTGGGAATTATTCAAGCTTGAGTAATTTAAACATATTCTTATTGCTTATTTAAAAATACTCTGTCTTTTTGTTTTCCATACATGAAAGCACTTTGCAGAGTTGCGTATTAATGTGGATTATTATTTCTTTAATTTGTAGATCTACAAGGTGTGGTGGAACACTTCTGGTCTCAATGCTGAGTGTGTGATGTGTGGTGAGTTACTTTAATTTCTCTGGACCCCAGTTTTCCCACCTTGTACATGGAGATGATGCCTAACTCACAGAATTGATCAGCGTATTGAACGAGACAGTGCGGTAAAGGACTCAGGCTGGTATAGTTGCCTAGAGAGGGTCCTTCTACTGTTCAGTGGTCTAGAGAACAAGATGAGCCCAGGAGGTAGGAGATTTCATTTCTGGCCTCTCCTTCAACCACTTAACTTCTTAGAGGATTATATTTACTTGGCTACTAAAATGGGGTTAAGAATATAAGTCTCTTGCCTAGGGGTTGGATCCAACGGACTTTAAAGGCTTCTTTACTAAGATGAAGGCTTTTATAAGTAATTGTCCCCTTTATCTACATTTAATATAGTACTTGGTGGCAGGGATATGTTTCTGTGTAAGTGAATTGGTTTTATTACAAGTCAGGGTAGACATGGAGGAAAGTCTCATTAACTCTGTTAAGATCACTTCATTCACCCTTTTCCTTCTGGCTGACATAGGTTATAGTTATTGATAAGCATAGTCTGTGATTGAGCTAATATGAACTCATTGATTGTGTGCGACATCTTTAAACTTTTATTTTCAGGATTGGAGAAGGGTATGGCTTGACTTTGTTCTGTTTAGGAATTGATGTAGTGTCATGTTGAAGAGCTTTGGCGTCTGGTAGAGGAGATTTGACTCCTACCTTTGCTGTTTAGTAAGTTTCCATTTTAGCAGCTTATGTACATGTTCTTGGGTACGCGTGACTTAAAGGGTGAATTAATCTCTGTAAAGTTTTTAGTTCAGAGCCAGACACATAGTAGGCTTGCAGTAATAGTATTACTTTTCTCTGTTCAGCAACTATTTGTTGAGCCTCTATCATATACCAGATACTTTTCTGGTCTCTAGGGATAGAGAAATAAACAAAAGAGACTCAGTCCTTGGTGGAGAGTTCATCTCTCAATTCTAGCATGCTGGTGGCATTGAAGCACACCATTAATGACAGCTTTAATCATAAAAGATACTCTCCTCGCAGGTCTGCTAAAACGTGGTGAGGGGGCCAGGTATGGTAGCTCATGCTATAATCTTAGTACTATGGGAGGCTGAGGCGGGTGGATCGCTTGGGCTCAGGAGCTTAAGACCAGCCTGAGCAAGAGCAAGACTCCATCTCTACTAATAATGGAAAAACTAGCCAGGTGTTGTGGCACACTCCTGTAGTCCCGGCTGCTTGGGAGGTTGAGGCAAGAGGATTGCTCAAGCCCAAGAGTTTGAGGTTGCTGTGAGCTACGGTGATGCCAGCACCCTACCCAGGGTGACAGAGTGAGACTGTCTGAAAAAAGAAAAGAAACATAACAATAAAAGGATAAAAGCAGAATATCAGCCATGCTATTGAAATGCCTCCTTTTGTGCCCCTTCTGGATTATTCCCTGAATCCCTTCTTCCTCCACCATCATGACCTTGTGTTTTGTGTTTATGAATTTTTTGCTTTTTCTTATAGCTTTATTACCACTGATTTTTAGAATTCTAAACAACATGTTAGACTTGTGTTGGAACTTTGTACAAATGCATACTCTGTATTCTTCTGTGATTCAGCACTGTTTTTAGCTATCCTGATGCTTGTAGATGGAGTTTGTTTTTCACTTGCTGCACAGGATTCTGTTTCATGCATGTGCCACAGTGTATCTGTTTTCCAACTGATGGATGTTTGGGTAGTATTTTTTTTTTCCGTATTTCAAGTAATGCTGAAATGAATGTCCTTGTATGTGTATCTTGGTGCATATGTTCACGAGTTTCCCAGTGTGACACGTAGTAACCACTAGCCATGTTTGGAGACTTAAACATAAATAATATTAAACAATTTCAGTTCTTCACTTCAGTTAGACACATTTCCAGTATTCACAAGTAGCTATTGGCTATAGTAGTGGTCATTGCAGCTAGATAGGCATTTCTGTCACTGTAAGTTGCCAGGTTTTACTTGTTTTTGTATTTCCAGTTCTCAGCATAATGCAGGAGCACCTTTTAATAAGCTGGACAATGCTGGTCATATGCCCAAGGGTAAAATTACTATGCTATGAAGTATTCACGTCTTTACTGTTGCTAGAGAATAGCAACTTGTTTTCCCAAGTAGTTATGCCAATTTACATTCTCATTAGCTGTCTGTAAGAATTCTGGCTGTTGTATATCTGTGGTTTGGTATTGTTAGACTTTTAAATTCTTGCCAGTAGGTTTGGTGTTTTTTGAAGGCAGCCCAGACATAAGCGGGCAGTGGAGACATCATTCTTCCAGCTTTACAAAGCTGAGCACCAGGGAACAAAGAGGGCAGCACCTGTAAGGGACTGATTGGGGGAGAGGTGGGAATGTTTCCTGCGTTGGCTAAAAGGGTCAGAGGCCCTAAGTCCAGCTAAACGTGGGGAGAGAGGGAGAATAGTCAGGAGTGGATTTACATTGTCAACAACTTCACTGCCTTGTGTGCCTTTTCGGCCTGTGGTAGTAACGTTTTTGATAATAAAGCATGTCATGAGAATGAATCTTCTTTGTTACCAAAGTGAATTCTGCATTTGATTTTTGCCTCCAAATTTATTTAAAACTTGGATTTGGGGAGGACCTGCAAAGCACTGACACTGTCTTTCCTACTGTTGAAACAGACCCCTCCATCCACATACACCATTCTGGCAATGGCTTCTAAACTGACTTGAGAGGAACCTTATCCCTATTTTAAATTAGATTAGAAGCCCTGCTAGAGTGTTAGTTAGGTTTCGATGACTTTCGAACAAAGGAATGAGAATCAGTTGTTAGGCTGCTGTGTGCATAGTCTGATTATAAGGCAAAGTTGAGGAATTGAAGGCTGTCTTTTAGCATTCAACTCCCTAGCACTGGTAAAAAGATTCTTCTGACACCCCACTCCCCCACAACTTTTTAAGAATTTACATTCTTAAATGTAAATATAAATGTAAATTTATATTTAAGAAAATATTAATACAAAAAACTTTTCTTCTAGCAACTTCAGATTCTCTTCATGAAAGGTACAGCGGATGGCAGGGCTGCTGCTTTGCCACAGTGCAGACTGGGCGGGACACAGCTAATGCTACTTGTAGTCAAGAAGAAAGAAGTTACACCCCAGCCTCTTTGGGGAACCATTCTGTCTGCTGAGGTCTCAAAGAAGGCACTAGGAGTAGGAGAAACAATCAAACAGCAGACATTTATTGGGCACTTACTGCTACTTGCCAGACACTGCTGAGCGTGTTTTACACGCATTTTCTCATTAATCTCACAACACTCCATCACTCTTTTCTCCATTCGACAGAAAGGAAGCAGGGTTAGAGTGGTTAGGTATCTTCCCCCGGGTTTCACGGGTCACATGTAGTTAATTCAGGGCTTAGACTTTAGTCCTTTTGACCCGTAAGCCCTGCTAAGATTATCTTGAATCTCTTACCAAGAATAGACAAGAAGGACTGAGGAAAGTACCGGGCGTGACATCAAGAGAAAGTTGTCCTTTGAAAGTAGTCCTTCCTTTTGTGTTGCCATGGGAGATAAGAGGCAGGGAATGGAGGGGCTGGGACTGAGTTGGTGTGGGACAGCCAGGGTGGCTATTATTTTCCTCTGCAGCAAATTTCACAGTTGTGTGTTTTGAAGGGAAATAAAAGATTCTACTCTTTTAGAAGCAAGGAAGAGACAGTGAGGAAAAAAGAGTGAGAGGGCCTGGAGGATCAAAATGCCTCGTGCTGCAGACCCTTGCTGAAACCAGACTTTGACATCCGTGGACCCCAGCAGCTATTAGTTCAACTACAGTGTACTTCTAAGTGAAAGCTGTATGAGTGGCTGTGTCTTTTTTCAATGCACTAGACTTCTCTCCTGAAAGCTTTATGATTGTAGAGCCTCTTGCTGTACTTTTGCAGAGCTTTTTGGTGACCTATACCACATTTACAATGAGGGTTGATAATCCGTTCATAAGGATACATTGTATTTGCGGTTGCTATTTAATTCTCTTGGCAAGTAGTTTTTAATTGACTACTTGAGGAGTCTGTAAGTATAACTCAGGTGGGAAGAGTTTTTTGAAGTTTTCTTCAATTAGAGATAATAGCAACACCTGTTGCATAGAGGCTTCAATAATACCTATGAACCACATAGAAATGTGCCAGACCTAGAGTAATAAACTCAGACCTGCTATTGTTGTTAATAATGTAATAATGTAATTAATATAATTCAGGAGTTTTTTATTGCAAGTAAAAGAAACCCAATTTGAACATGCTTTATAAGATTAAATAAATAAAAAGGGACTTACTAGATTATATACTTGATTCTCATCATTAACAATAGTTATGTACTATAAAATCTCTGTGAGTACCACATTAGTGAACACAGAGCCATTGCCGCTGAGGAAGTCCAGGGCTAGGCTGCTGCAAGCTTCTGGATCACAACATTGTTGTCAGTTAGTTGATCAGTACAGACCTTGTTTTATGTATATTTCTGTGTAAACACCTTACATAGTACATATTTCTTAGAAGTAATTATAGGCAACATTTCTCTATAATAAAACACTGGTCAAGAAAGGTTTAACATCTTCCTGACTCTGAATAGTATGACAGTAAAACTTTTTTGGATTTCAGCCTCACATCAGTGCTATCTCCTGTGCTTTTTGGTTTTTATTGGTTGTTATCTCATGAAACCACAGACTTAGCTGCTTTTCCATCTTTTCTGTAGTGATATTATGCACTATAGATGTTATGTTAGCACTTTCTGGGTTGGGCTCACACACAGATGGGTGGATTTCCTTTTCCATTTTTGGATGTACCCTACTGTGGATTCACTGACCTTGAACTCACGACCAGCACTTGGCCATGAAGGAAGCCTATCCAGCACACACATCTCATATGTAAGACACATGATAGCCTTCTGACATCTAGGAACTCCAGGCAGCACTTCAGCTCTCTGCTTGGGGGCCATTTTATTTTTACTTCTTTATTTTTTTTGAGATAGAGCTTCAGGCTGTTACCTTGGGTCGAGTGCCATGGCATCACAGCTCACAGCAACCTACAACTTCTGGACTGAAGCGATTCTCCTGCCTCCACCTCCCAAGTAGCTGGGACTACAGGCGCCCACCACAACACCTGGCTATTTTTTGTTGCAGTCGTCATTGTTGTTTGGCGGGCTCAGGCTGGATTTGAACCTGCCAGCTCTGGTGTATGTGGCTGGCGCCTTAGCTGCTTGAGCCACAGGCGTGAAGCCTGGGGGGCCGTTTTAAACAGCAAAATTACCAACAAAAACATGCAAAAAACTTGACCTAAGATAGATTGCAGAAAGGATACTCGTTTGCAGTGTGAGTTGAAATAAGAAAGCAGAACATAGCCGTGTTCCTTTAGCCAGGAACATGCACCTAGGGCAATTCATTTTTTGTCTCTCTACACATGTCTGGGAATGACTGAGAAAGGACTTCAAGTTGTATTGATTTGGGGGTTACAAATACATTTCAGTGAGAAGGTAAATTCCCAAGTATGAAATCCAAAAATAATGAAGATTATTTGTACTTAGTGAAGGTGGGAGTGCTGGCACCAGGCTTAGTCGACATTGTTGCAGCTCTCTCTGTCTCCTTTGGGAGCATCTATGGCTGGGTGGCTTCATAATCTCTTACAGGCATCCTTCAGTGCAGCGGGGAAGGTGGCTTTCAGCAGCCTCGGTTATCCTTCAGAGGCAAAAGGCAGTCTTCCTCAGAGTCCATGGAACTTAGTGGGTAAGGACTCTGGCCTGGCTGGGAGTTTGAATCTATCTCTGAGCCAATCACTGTGGCTGAAGGTGGCATCCTCTGATAGGCTTGGTGTGGGTCACATGCATTGTTTAGGGGTGTTTCTGATAGGTGTGGCCAGGGCCATGCCTGACCCTGTTCGAAAGAGGAGTAGAGTTTGTTATCAGCTAAAGAAGGACATTGGGGGGTCCGGGGGGGATAAACAGAAAGAAGAATTAGATAATACACTTGAAGTTTTTCAAAAACTGACCTGCATTATTAAAAGAATGGTATTAAGTTGCAGCTTTCTTTTCAGTTAGGAATAATTTTAATTTTTTCCGATCTATTCTACATGATTAGTTAATGTACTGCATTATATATTTCATAATTTATAGGAAACTAAAATTCAAATGTTCTCATGGTAATAAATGGTATGTGAGCTGATGGACATGTTAATTAGCTTGATTAGTAATTCCACAGTGTATACATATTCAAAGTGTTGTATTGTATACCATAAATATATATAGTCATTAGTCAATTACAAATTTAAAACATGCATTTTACTCATGGTCTCTTCTCCCCTCCACACCCCCTACTTTTTTTTTACTGATGAGTAGCATCCTATTGTGTGACTATACAATAATCGGTTTGTCTGTGCTCCTCTTGATGACACTGGGGTTGTTTCCATTTTTGTTTAGTATGAATAAAGTCACTGCAAGCATTGTTTACAGATCCTTGGGTGGACATAAATCCAGGGCTTCTTTTCAGACATATTGTTTATACTTAGCTTAATGGTACAGCTGCCTAATTTGGTCCAATATGTCTTAATTCTGACTAGTTTCACTCTTAGAGATCAGCTTTATTTTCAGGATATCCTGTGTTGTCTATTGACTATAACTTAGTCATTCTGCATGTATTTTTTGGTGTGTGTTTCGATCTTGTAGACAGCATCTAAATCTACTTGGGTGGCACCTTAGCCATTTGGATGTGAGTGTGGACACTGGTGGCAGCCCTAGATTATAGCCTGGTTCTTCTCCTTCCAGCTGTGCGACTATGCATCTTACTCTCTGAGAGCCTTGCTTTATCTGAAAATTAGCCTAAAAATGATACTTCATGAAGTTGACATGAGATGAGGATATAAAATGCATGTTAGCAGTGACTGATGCATTGCAGAATTGCTTCCGTGATTAGGAGCAATAAAACAAATTTAGGAAACATTAACAAGAAAGAAAGCTGTTAGTGCAGACAATAGCAATTGAGCAAGTTGGGAGAATGAAATTATGAACAGATGATATGATCCTATTGGGCTTTTTAAATGTATGTCCTTATGCCATCCTCACTACCCTACTAGTTTTGTACTTTTTCTCGCATCTCCCAAGTAACTCAAAGGATAATGTTCAATCTTGATATATTTTTAGTGTAGAATCTAGACAAGGGATAGAAATCATAGGAAGAAGCAGAACTTTCTGGTTAAGGCAGTAGGTTGAGATTGATTTAGTCTTATATTTCTTTTTGGGCCTTTTGATGTCATTCCTAAAAGTCTCAAAGAGTTCAAAGAGTAAGTCAGAATTAACATAAGCCAGTTGTAAAATTAAGTTGTACATACACACTGTCATTGAGTTAAGGACAGAGTGCTGTAATTGCTGTCAAGAAGGATTGAAGGAATTAACTTCATCAATATTGTAATGTTTAATTTGTAGCTGTTTGGGCCTGATTTTACCTTGAAAAGAAAGAAGAAAGAAAGAAGTTTGTCATTTTGAACTGACAGACGTCATTTTAAGCTGAGTTTGGGCCGGGCGCGGTGGCTCACGCTTGTAATCCCAGCACTTGGAAGGCTGAGGCAGGTGGATTGCCTGAGCTCACATGTTTGAGACCAGTCTGAGCCAGAGTGAGATCCCATTTCTATAAATAGATGGGTATTGTGGCCGGCGCCTGTAGTCCTAGCTACTTGGGAGGCTGAGGCAGGAGGGTCACTTGAACCCAAGAGTTTGAGGTTGCTGTGAGCTAAGACACCACAACACTTTACCAAGGGTGACCAAATGAGACTCTGTCTCAAAAAAATAAAAAAAAAAGCTGAATTTGCACAGAGTAGTCAATTAGCTATCTCCTTTGTACTCTTAGAGCCATATGTTAGTAGAAATTCTCTCCTGTAGATTATGCAGATTTATTGATAAGTTAAGCTTTTAAATTTTTTTTTAAATTTTTTGAGGCAGGGTCTTGCTCTTTCACCCCAGCTAGAGTGCAGTGGCATTCTTGTAGCTTGCTGTAACCTCAGACTCCTGGACTTAAACAATCCTCCTGCTTTAGCCTCCTGAGTAGCTGGGGCTACAGGTACGTGCCACCACCCCTGGCTGATTTAAAGAAATGTTTTTTTAGAGATGAGATCTCACTGTTGCCCAGGCTGGTCTTGAACTTCCAGTTTTAAGTGATCCTCCTGCCTTGGCCTCCCAGAGAGGTGAGATTCTAGGTGTGAGCCATTACCTGACCCTGAGACTTAACTTTGATAGAAGGTTTGGGATTCTGAAAAGTAGTTACAGAATGCGTAAACATGTGAAATTGAGTTTTAGACATTTCTGTTCTCAAAATTCATCTGAGATTCTCTGCAGCAGAGAATCTACTAATGAATGGCACAGTTCTAGTTGCAGCCCTGTATCATAGGCTCCCATTGCTCCCTCTTTGTTTGGTGTCCTTTTTTTTTTGGAGACACAGTCTTACTTTGTCACCCTCGGTAGAGTGCCATGGCATCATAGCTCATAGCAACCTCCAACTCTTGGACTCAAGTGATTCTCTTGCCTCAGCCTCCCAAGTAGCTGGGACTACAGGCGCCCACCACAATGCCCAGCTATTTCATTTGGTATCTTAAATAGGAACGTCTACTTTATAAGATCTGATGATTTGCAAATATTATTTCAGCCAGTTTCCTGTGCGGTGGCCTGAAAACCCCATTTAGTCAGTATTCACTCACTCATTTAAAAGAAACAACATTTGTTTAAATGTTTTTTGAACTCTTACTAAAATAGAAAGTTACAGCATCATTATAACTTGTATCTACTTTTAACAATGTTAGTATGTTTTATTTTGAGTTATAAGCTATATGAAGAATATTAAGAGGAAGGTTATTTTTTAAATCAGTTACTTTTATTACTTGAATTGGTTTGCTCTGACATTAGGATATTTTTTTAACCTTTTTTTTCTGTTCCAAAACTCTCTTCCAGGCTACATGACTCCCTGAAAGAGAAGAACAATGTTATGTTGGGGATATTGGTCGTTGGGCCAACCTGGTATCAGCACCAACCTGCAAGGCATTGTGGCTGAGCCACAGGTGTGTGGATTCATATCTGACAGAAGCGTCAAGGAAGTGGCCTGCGGAGGAAACCACTCCGTGTTCCTGCTGGAGGGTGGGGAAGTTTACACGTGTGGTTTGAACACCAAGGGGCAGCTGGGCCATGAGAGGGAAGGAAACAAGCCAGGTGAGTGTACCTTGTCTCGGTAATCAGTGAGAATGGACAGGCGGAGGGCAGGACAGCAGAGGCGGGTCAGAGCCTTCCCACCAAGTGTGCAGCTTTCAGGGAGCTCTTTTGAACAATGCCGGGATTACCTACTGTTTGGAACCCTTGTGTCTCATTCAAACCTTTTGATGGAAAAACAGATTTTTCCTTTTTCATAGAATTAGATAACATATGTAATATTAGTTACCAGGGGAGGGGAGGTGTGAGTTAGTTCAGAGTTAGAGAAATAGATTTTCCCTCATGATTGAATGCTAAGCCATCATGATGGTTTTGTGAACACGGATTCCCCATACAATCAGTATTAGAAGCTTTTCTCTGCAATTACCCATTTACTTCTTTGTTTCTGCAACACGCTTTTGGTAAGCATTTTATGCTCAGTGATGTGCTTGGTGTTGTGAGCAGAAAGATGAGTGAGATACAGTGATGAGTGGCTCCAGTGAGTCCCTGCGGAAAGTGTGTTGTGGGAGTATGTGTGAGTTAAGGTGAAGAAGAGGAAGGGGC